TGCATTGAGTTCAAACTGGTTGTAGCATTTTCCTCAAGTGGTTTTAATACAATGGTTAAGTGAGAACTGTAGGATTCCCTTGAGTCACGAGTACTCAGCTCAAACATCCTGTTCAGTCTGTAGCTGTAGATAATTATGGGCTTCTCCTGTCTCCTGTATATGTAGGCTTGTTGGTCTCTTGGTGCTGTTTTACTCCAGGGATGGAAGTCTTGGATATGCTTATCTGTGCTAGTTGAATCCATTGCAATGACCTGAAATACATTACAGTTTTATAAATTAATTGTCTTATTATCTGTTGTCATTGCAAATTATCTGCTACATATTCAGGATGCATTAGATTATATACACATATGAAAAAAAATAAACCAAACACCTCCTTTATTGTTTAGTGAAAAACAATTAACCCCAAATAAAACATTAAAAGTAGGAATTTAGTTAAAACATGGTGCTTTTTTATTTCATGAATCAAAAATCTTTATTTTCATTCTAAAACCATAAAAATATTTAGCAGAGACTCACTGCTTAGAAAGCCTATATATAATGCGAGCAAAAATCAGAAGAAGAATTTAGACCTTTAAACAGCTGTAGCAGATTCTTGTAAGGTAATGTGTGTGAATGCTAACTAAACAAACTAAATGCTTAGTTAATAAATTCCGTAAAAGTTCAAAAAAATGACCTATGACCTGGATGACTGAGAATCTTCATCAGCACTTAGTTAATAAACAAATTTTTCTACTGATGTCGCTATTTAAAGGAGACTTCACTGTATCTTTTGGGGCAACAATAATGAATCAAATTTAAAATGCAGGAACCTCGTTAGACAATGAGGCAGGTTTTAACACAAAAGCAGGGGTTATTACTTTCATTGCTCTGGGGAAGAGGCTGTTTTTAAGCCTGTTTGTTCTGTTTTGTTGTATCTTAACCAACTGAGCTAAGTCCTTCCTAACAGGATGCTTTATTTCTGGCTTGTCGATGTTTTTGAGCCCAGTCCGATCGTGACTTTCCCAGAGATCATCAGCACAGGTGTCCACAGGTTTTTTGGAAAAAATTAATAGAAATACCATTTCGTCTCTTTCAAAATCTATTTTAAATGGGACACCCATTGGGTGAAAGTTTCGGTATTTTTATCCTTGAGGCTATGCTTCACCGATTGCTAAGATCTTGCTAAAACTCACCACCCGGATGATGTAGCAGGTTTCCAAGCAGGAGCAATGTAGAAATAGAGGCTGGTTTTGAGATGAGCATTTTCTCTTGGATGCATTGCCTCAGAGTTTCACCACTGCTCACAACCAGCTCGAACAGCGGGGAACCAGACGGTCTCTTCTTTAAACACTTGAGTTCATAGACTGCAAACTGGGCAGAGCTGTTTTGATATTTTTTTTTCAAAGAATTTCTTTTAAAGCAGAGTGTTATGTTGGAAAAGTCATCAAAGCTGTTCAGCTAACTACCAATGTTCTGCTAAGATTTGAGTTATTCACATGATTTTGGTGTTTTTCTGACATTTGGTTCTGTTTTATTCTTTCAGTTTTATTCCTTTGGTTTTCCACCCTTTATTGAGCTTCACATCAATATTCATCAGCACATCTAGCATATCTATGGAGCACCTCTTTTATTCAATATCTAAGTCTCCACAGTATACCTGCATTCATTTTAAGTGTAATTATCTTTTAGTATTTTGGATGTCAGCAGTCTCTCTCTCTCTGTCTTAATGAAATGGTTTAAGTCTTAGGGAAGTAAACTCACTTTGGTTTTAAGTAAGTGTTTTCTTTGGGTTGCAATTTGGAATTCATTTTTTTTTTTCATGTCATTTCAGTTTAGAGAGTAAATTTGAGTTAAAATCAGATTGTGTGAAAATAAACAAATATCTGAAAACAAAGTTACAAGCCAGCGTTATTTCACATTCCTCTGACCACATCTGAAAGGAAATGCTGCAGTTTTTCTCTATTTTACAGTAGATTTCAACCTTTGCCTTGCAATTATTTTCAGTCATTCAAATTTAATATGCAATTCAAAACATATACAAAACATGCTTAATATTACAGTACATGTAGCAGCAAGTAATGGGACTTTATGAGTACCATACAACTGACTATAATAGGATTTCATTCAATATAATACAACTTTTTAAATGATATCCTTTTTCTTTTTACTTCATTTCACGTCAGGTCAACAAGAACTAAAGGTAAAAGTTTAAAATTGTTTTAAGCTTAGATGCCTGAAATAGCTGTTCCACAATTTGAATGAACTTTTAGGTTTAGGCAGGGATTACCGGTAGTTAGTCTTTGCAGAGGTGCAGAATTTAAGGAATCAATGGCAGCAAACCTTGGCTGCTACAGGATATCCATCTTACACAACAAATCCCCACACATATTCAGAAATATATTAAAAGATTTAGTATCTTCTGAGGTGAAGCTGTATAATATCTGTGTCCCGTTTGGTCTTTTTGTAATATTTTTCAGGTTCATGTTCATAACGTCATGTACAGTACTGTGAGAACAGCACTGGAATCTCTAAAGAAATAACTCTTGTTGTCTTATTTTTTCAAACTGAAGTTCCCAAAAACAGCTCCACCTCCACTGCAGCCACATTTATGTAATAGTTGAAATGCAAAGAAAACTTCTGTGTGTTTTTGACTCCTATTATAGGAAGAATCAGACCTTTGATAGAAACATGGAGATATTGTCTTGAATATAAGAAATTTCTTGTCTGCTGCTCTTTTTTTTTTTTTTTTATCTCCAGCTGGATTCAACTCCTGACCTCTGCATATGTTGTTTACATCATGGGAAGTTCTCATGAATATTTTATTGCCAAGCTACTGTAGGTGAATGTGGAATAAGCGACCATGTATGAAATTATCTGCTGGATGTATGGTAGATATGCACATGTAATATTCTACAATTGTATTTGAGAAAAACTATATAAGAATAACTTAATAATGATCGGCACTGCAGGCTTTTATAAATCCTATACTCTTTAACTCTCAGTGACAATGTGCATGTACATGTTCAGTACATAGAAGGTGTACATTCTGTGGTCAATGCATCTGGCTTTCCCCTGTCTATGCAGTTGTCTGCCAAAACCAGAGGGATCATTTAACCCCACAGCCTTCTGTTGAAGGCCTTTAGGATAAATTAGAACACTAATAATACAGCAGCTTTGGGGGAGAAGTGTGTTTGCAGGGGAGGTTGTGCCTCAGCTTGTGTGTGTTCATTATTTGTGAACATGTTTCAACTCAGAACTTTTTGGATTAAACCCTGGCAATAGGAGTCTAATCTTTGCTTACGAGGCCTGGAAGCCACAGATTTATATTTTCATAACTCTATGATGCTGAATTTAGTCTGTTTATTAGAAAGCATTTATTTAATTATGTGCAGGCATGGGCCCATATGAGATTATTTCATCCCCTTTTGAAATGGTAATGCAGTATTTGCACGGCTTTATTGACTGTGACATGATTTAATTGTTTTTTCTTTTTTTAAAGAAAAGCATATTTCTACTGCTATTACAGTAATTTATGTTGTCCATAACATGTTTTTTTTATTTTCATAAATTAATTTGAGTAAAAACATTGACTAAAAGTTGGTAGGGATGCTTCCTTATGACTTTAAATACTATCTGTTAATGCTGTACGTATAACTTATATCACTATACTGCAGTATTTTTTTTCACATATGGTATCTTTATTTGCAAGAACAATAATGAAATAATAAACCATAGAATGATGCATTAACACCTATATAAATAGAAATCCCCTGTTTTTCAACAGATGAAGTATAAACAGCAAAACAAAGAAAGGGTTTTGGGCAAAGCAGAGATTAGGACATACGTTTTAAAGAGTTTCTGCTTTCAACTCTTTGGCTTTATTATGGTGTAAAGTGATAGTAACGTTATATAAAAATTAGCTACATTCAACAATAAACTGACTTTCTAACTGAGCAGTTTAACAAGCCTATTTGTTGTAAAAAGCCCCTTATAGTTCCTGAGTGGAAACTGCACCATGTTACGGATAAAGGAAAAGTCATTTTAATGTTTAGGAGCATCCAGCTAGAGTCACAACAATTTAAATTACAATCTGTAGATGAGGCTAAAGATTAAGGGGATGGCAATGAAGCCATTATTTTAAACTTGTGATGACTTGTGCTACGATTGTTCAGACATGTACTAATAGTACTAATAGAGGTAATAACCTGCTGTACCTCTAACGTTTCAGTTTAAAGAAATCTTTCATTACTTGTCAGTCTATTGTCATTGTGAACTTCTTGGATGGTTAGATGTGGACTTATTGACTGGTATTATTTTAGGTTTTCTATGCAGTGGAATGACTGATAAAAACGGTTGGGGCCCTTTTTAACCCCCCACTAGCCTCATAAGATGCTACAGACTTGTTACTGAAATCCTCAAAGAGACTGTTGATCTAACAGTGGTCTTCATGTTCATTTTAGGTGTCAGAAGAACGTCAAGCTAAATTCCTATAATTTCTATAAAGGAGATCTCCTTTCTTTTATGACAACTGATGTTCTCATCATATGCATCTGATGTGATACAGCTGTGTGTAATTTAAAATGTGCTGGGGGTATCCAAATGGATGCTCAGAAAATGTTGATTTTCAATGCTCTGTATTAACATGTTTGCAGAAAAATAGCTTGTGTTTTATAATTACTATATATACTGTATATATATATATATTTTTTTTTTTATTAAAATCAGACAGTATACTGCTAATTAATAATTAGCAAAATACCCATGAAACCAATAAAAGCACTTGGATCCAGATCTTTTAAATTAAAGAAATATTGAAGTGAATAAATAACTCATCAGCTCACAGAAGCAACTGTCAATAGGAAAATTACAGTATTTATTCTCCCTTCTATGTAAAACTGTCGACTAAACACATTTACCTGTTGTAATGCTCTTTAAACTTATTTTGAAATCTGTAGGTCAAATAAATGTTAAATAGCTTGATAGCCGTACTATAATCATGTTTTTTCTTTGTTCATTAGAAACACAAGGTGGATCTGTTCTACAAGGTCCGCCACGTGATGATGGAGCTGATCGACCTGAGGAGGCAGCTGCTGTCCGGTCACCTCACACAGGACCAGAGCAGAGACGTCAAGAGACACATCACCGTCAGACTCGACTGGGGCAACGAGTGAGAAAACATATGCTTTTAAAAAAACACATTCTCTAATTTATGCAGGGGCACATCAAAGTAAAGTTGGATTTAAAATCTACACTCAAAACATCATCACTAAATCTACTTTAAGATAATGCAGATTTCAAACCCATCAAAAACACAAGTTGTCAGATATATAAGAAGTTTTGATTTAAGGTGTTTAACTTTCCCTGCCTTGTTATCATCAGATGAGTGGGTGTCTCTATGTCTCTACTGTGCAATAAAAGTGATTTTCAGAAGCAGGTGAAAGATGATTATAACCAGAAGCTGGAAAGATTCATGAACTCAGTGAAAGACGGCTGAAGGAAAACAGATATACTGAGAGACAAAAGGCTTTAAAGTGAAGGGACCTGGAAGCCAGGGAGCTCAGACATCCATCCATCCATCCATCCATCCATCCATCCATCCATCCATCCATCCATCCATCCATCCATCCATCCATC